GACCATGTACTTATTGTTGGTCTGCTTGGAGGATTGAGTAGTCTCCACACCCTGGTGACCTTTTGGCCATCCCTCTTCCAGGCCATGGTCATGACACCCAGGTAAAATTCATTGATCAGACAAACAAGTGTGGCCTTGTTGCTCTTCAACAATGGACCTACAAGATGGACTATGCAAAAGGAATCAGTGTTCTGATGTCCACCTGGGAAGCCCATTTGCTCAGTGTGTGAGGAGGGTTTTCTTGTTCAGGTATTCTGTGTTGGAGCATGTGTGATGTAGAGGGTGTGCTGCAAGATTCCTTAAACTATTCTACGTGTTCCTGTGCTTTAAACAACCCAGGAATCCTGTGTATCATCTTACCTAGCACCTCTTAGACCATGGCCTTTCACACAAATATGTCACCCTTGCCTTCCTGTCCTGATTACCCCTACATTTTGTATGGTCCATGTGTGGTCTCTGTCTGTCCTCTGAGCCCTCTGGGATTTCAGTATGTTTCTTTATGGGTCAGCTCTGACCTGATTCCTTGACTCATAGGGCCAGTGTTTTTACTAAGAAGCCCATTTTCACCCAATGAGCCTCCTCTTGAGTCTCTGCCATGTGTAAGTGTCTTTGTTTCTAAAAGTTTGTTTTTCTGGCATGGCCTCAAGGTAAGGGTCCTTGTCCACAGGGCAGATATGTTGGTTTTCTGCAATGGCAAGTATTTTCTATGTGTCAGGATCTCATACTTCTGAGGAGCCCACTTTGCCATATGATGTCCTTCATTGAATCTGTACCCAGCATCATGTAGACAGTCTTCTCTTTTCTTTCTTTTGACTAAGTTTCATGCATCCCAAAGTGGCTCTGGGCCCTACACCTAAAAATCCATGGGGGCTTAAGGATCCCTTCTATCTCCTACTTGTCTGCCACTGTATTATGAGTCTCACAGCCTTGGGCACATGATATTCTGACCTCTGATTTCTCAGCCTTAGGTGTTCTATTTCTTTTCTAATTCAACTAATTTCAACTCCTCATAGCACCTGGTCCCTCTTTCCCATAAGATAGTACCTCAGTGCACATGTTCACACAGCTCATCAGAGAGGGCTTAGGCCAATGGAAGACAGAACAACATAGCACACCTGAGGGAAAATATATGGCACAAATAGTGAGAAAGACAGCTGAGTATCCAAAGATTATCCTGTCCAGTTTCTTTCCTTTAATGTCAGAGTTAAAGGGTTGTGGGTATTACCTGAGTTTTCATTGTGTATTAACAGAAAAGCAAGAGTTCAGTGCCCCAGGGCTGAAATTCATGGAGAATGTTTAACCTCAGGCTGAGATAAGGCACAACACAACCAGGAGGAAACTCTTATAATCCTCAGGGATAACAAAGAAAGTGGAGTAAGGTGTCACTCACCCAGGTCTGACAGCCAGTTCCTTCACCAAACACAAAACACGGTGACACGGCTTGTGCAAAAACCCTTTCCTGCCTTACCCCTATCCCCTTAGACCCAGCTGCAGCTGTGCTGGAGGCAGCCACTGATAGACCTGGTATCTTCATTAGAAAAAGTTGAAATCCCTGAGAAATGACCAGTACATGGTGTCATTCATGGAAGCTGCCATCTGTCCTGAGAAAACACCTCACCAAAAGATCACCAGCATGTTTTTCTCTTCACCATGAAAGAATCACTTGTTAGGAAAAGAAGAAAATAGGAAGTGCCTGTATTATGCTCACACATTGCCCTGGACCCTCATTGCAGCCTCTGCCCACAGGACCCCTCTGGGCTGCCTACCTCAGGTTGAAGTGACAGTCCCGGGTCTGGATCCCAAGGAGTCCAGTTAATTGAGGGTTTCCATGAATTGTGACATAGCTTGGGGTTATGACTTCTAAAGTGTCACACTGCTATCTGAAGTTCTTGGGCGATGTGTAAGTCCTTGGATATCTTCCTTTGCCAACATTTCCCCATCACCTGTGCCTATCAGGATGTCTTCCCTGGGAATCTTCTGTTGGGTCCCTCCTCCAGTAGTAGGATGGAGAGTGGAAACACCCCTCTCCAAGGCATCCTTACTATAGGGGGAAGCAGGAGAAGGGACACAATAACTGGATCTACCTTTCCACAGAAAGTTCTTCATCCATCCTTGTCTTCTTTCTATTTCCTTCTCTATTACTCCAGGTCCCCAGTCTAAATATCTCCTTAATGTGTTGAGGTAGACCATAACAGAGACCATGGAAGATTGACCCTTGGAGGGCAAGCACTTCCCTTCCCAATTTGTAGATCCCTTAACTCTAGAGCTTTAGCCTGAGACACTTGTGTGACTCTGAACCCTGTGGTTCAGAGAATTCAGCAAATGGAGGGAGTGGGTACTCTGAAGAACAGTCAAAGAAAACCCCTTGAGAATGTCCCTTAGGACAGAGGGAGTTTCCAGCAGGACACAGGAAAGGGTCATTTCTATCCTGCCCCAGTAAATAACTAAGACTAGGGGATGAACTGGAGAAAATGAGTAAGCAGATGAGGAGAGGCAAAGATGACAGGTTTCTGCACAGGTTGAAACCTCAGCTCTATAAAGGTAGAGAGAAGAGAGAATCCACCAAATAGAAGAGGAAGGGGGAAACTCACCGAGGATGGTCACCTTGGTCCCATTGCCAAACACAGCACACTGTGACACAGATCTGTACATGAATCACTTTTTGCAACATAACTCAGACCCCCCTGCAGCTGCATCAGAGGTCAGAGGTTCAGCCTTCTTTCACAGGGGCTGCTCAGTCCATGGGTGGGTGAGATTTCTTGCTTCTGCTTGAGCTGGATCATGACCTCTTTAAAAGCTGTGGAATAGGACCATCTTGAGTCATCCCAAGGGTTGAAGAGGATTTCTTTCTTTTCTTTTTTAAACTTTTATATATATATGCGTTTTAATTATGATATGAAAATTTTAAAGTGCAGAAACCTGTCAAAAATTAATGGCATTTGCATGAGGTGATGAGCTTCTGAATAACTTTCTTCACATCTTATAATTTATTTTTGTAATTTCCAAAAACAATATGAAAACCTTAAAATTCCTGACTTGATGATGATTTTATATATTGAATATATATATATATGCATATATAAACATATGGAAGTAATATATGTATAGGTAAGTATATATGTGTATATATGTATATATATATATATATATATAGTTGCAGATATTTGACAACTCAAATACATTCATGTTTTTCAAGATTTATTGCTCTCTCCTTAATATTCAGAGAATACTCAAAATTATATCACAGGAATATACTGGACAAACACCCTCATGTAATATTCTAATATAAATAATGTTCTAATAATACAATATTCTCACAGGAGTATAAATCTCATTACCGATAATCCTAATTTAAAAGTTCCAGGGGTAGTTTCTGGATAGTGGTTGGTAGATTTCCCTTCTTCACAGTAGAGTTTATTCCATAAGCTCTAAGTGTGGGGTCTCTGCTTTGCCCTTGACCTCCTTCTGACTTACACATGCACCTGTGCACATACTTGCTTCAACATGTCCTTTGTGCACACATAAAGCAGTCAGCCTCTGTTCATATCACTGGGTGCACCTACAGCCTAGAGACACACATGGTAACCCTCATGAGAAGGATGTAAGCAGAATGAGATCCCAGCACCAGGCCCTCAATGCACTTCCTTGTGGTGGCCCATTAACCTATAGAGCTCACACGGGGACACACACCAGTAGCTTGGAATCCCTGAAGTGTCCTCCTCAACAAGTACCTCCCTAGTTCTCCAAAGTCACCTGCTGCTCCCTGAGCACAGCCCTTCCCACGATTTCTCCTCAACTCTTTGTCACTCTTGGAATGGATAGAAACTTCCTCCCTTTCCCCAATGTGAGTGGCCTACCACAGAGACCATTATTCTAGGATATTGGTGATGACATTTGATAATCGATTTCATGTCACCAGAGGGCTTTACTGCCTCTCCTGCTACCTGGAGTCTTCCCGATCCATTCATACAGATGCTTAACGTGACAATGTGTATCAAAGGACTTATGCTTGTTATATGCATTTTGTGTGGAAAGGTGCGTGTTTGTTCACAGGCATATATGTTTCTGTGTATGTGTTTCTATAACAGCAGGGAGCCTATACCAAGTTGTTAAAAAGGTGCATCAGCTTGCACACAAGCATGTGGAAGGTATCCCAGAATGTGGCTACTGACTTTGAACACATTAGACCCACTGACAATCTTAGGGCACCTATGGTGTGTTCATTAGAAGCAATACTGAATTCTGTTTCTCAGAAAATAGAGGGACACAAATAGACCAGGGGTACCAAGAGGGGAGTAGAGGATGAATCACCAGGTTACATGGACTGAATATCCTGTTAATAAGTGATATGGGGCTGGGAGTTAGCAGTGCTATGGGGCCCATGCTGTATCCCCAGGGAGGTAGGAGCAGGGTTGACACAGAAGAAAGAGCAAGTGGCTCTAGGCAGCAAGGACAGGTATTACAGGTAAGGGAGGGAGACAAAGGGAAAAAGAGGGATGCCCTCAGTGATAGGGGCTTAGACCTGAGATGGAAAGACATTTGAGGATGGAGTGATGTTCAGACTGCTCCAGGGAAGGGAGCTCACACATTCTCCTGGAGGCCTTGGGTATCCAAGGAAAAACTGATCCCCAGAGGGAGTGGGTGGGTGAACTAGTCTGCACAAGAGGAGCAAGTACAGGGTGGATAGGTGAAAATATGCAGACTGGGTTCCTGCTGAAGGCCATTCTTTTTCTGAAGAAAATTCTGTGGATCTGCCAGGGTAATATCAGGAGCCTTTCCTGGCCTTTATATCTCAAAATCTTTGAACACGTTGAGGGGATGGTCAAAATTAAGATGGGAAATGTGTAAACTAAAATAAAAGAGACTATGATTTTTAGTTGAAATAGAGGATGTTTATTGAGGTTTTTCTGGGTTGAGAGAGAAGGGCTGGGATAGTAGGGCCGGGAGGAGAGAAGCTTCCCTGGGGTTTTCAGCTCCAAGGTGAAATGAGGGTCACGGACCTAGGAACACTGTTCCAAGGACACACTCTTCTCCATGGTGCTCCCTTCATGAGTGACCTGGCAGGTCTGTGTCTCATGAGATCCACTCATCTGCTGTCCCAGTCAGGTAGCTGCTGGCCATGTACTTATTGTTGGTCTGTTTGGAGGGCTGAGTGGTCTGCACACCCTGGGTGTCCATGGCGCCATCTCTCTTCCAGTCCACGGTCACAACACCTGGGTAGAAGTCGCTCATCAGACACACCAAGGTGGCCTTGTTGCTCTGGAGCTCCTCAGAGGAGGGTGAGAACAGGGTGAGTAAGGTCTCAGCCTTAGGCTGACCTGCCAAATGGACCAGGCTAAAGGGATCAGTGTTCTGGTGTCCACTCTGGAGCCCCTATGCTCAGTGTGTGAGGAGTGTCTTCTTGTTCAGGAACTCTGTGTTGGAGCATGTGTGATGTAGAGGGTGTATTGGGGAATTCTTTAAACCCTTCCCCATGTTCATAGGCATGAAGAAACCCAGAACACCTGTTTATCACCATGCCTGGCACCTCTTAGACCCCGATCTTTCACACAAATATGTCACCCTTGCCTTCCTGCCCTGCCTCCTTCTGACATCTTTCTGGTCTACCCGTAGTCTTTGTCTGTCCTCTGAGCTCTCCAGGACCCCAGTGTTTTCCATTGTGGGTCAATTATGACCTGACTTCTTGGCTTTGAGGGCCAGTTTTTTCTAAGGAGCCCATTTTCACCTCAATGTGTGTCTTCCTGAGTCTCTACCATGGGTAAGAGTCTTTGTTCCTTAAAGTCTGTCTGTCTGTCTTGGCCCCTCTCCTTTTGCAGAGTCAGACCAAAATGCCTTTTTTACTGGTCATATCTGTAGGTTTCCTGTATTGAGACCTGTTCATGTGGAAACTCAGGAGCCTGTGCTTCTGCAGCATGTGCCCTATGGAGACCTACCTCCACCACTCTCATCTTCAGTCACTCTTCTCCTGCCTATCTGTTATCCAGAGCCTCTCTTCTTTTCTTCCTCCTAAGTTTCCTGAAACCCAATGTGTGTCTGGGCTCTGACCCTGGCCAAACTTGAAGACTTGGCTTTTCTTGTACTTCTCATCCTTTTCGTGACCTGTGATCCTGGGTTACAGTCCAGGATGTCTGGACTGAGTTATGAAATGTTGTTCCCCACTCTTACTCCTTAGTGTGCTAAGTCTTTTTACATCCACTCTTTGTCATTTCCACAATGTCTTTTATTTCCTCTTCCCCTTAGATAGGGCCTCAAATTAACCCCTCTCAAACAAATTAGAAAAGTGACTAATAAGGGAGAACAGATCATAGTACTTCTTATGGACCAGCATTCCAAGACAGACAGACAGGCAGACAGACAATGAAGTCTTAGAAGTTCATTCTGTTCAGTCTCCTGCCTCTGGAGTCAGAGGTTAAACAGTTGCCTACATATCACTGAGTTAATCACAAGCATCTGAAAAGAAAGGGAATAGTTCAGTGTCCCAGAAATAAAATCCATGGAGACTGCTCGTCCCAGGACAGAAACAGGACACAGAAAAAGAGCTAAAAAGCAGAAAATTTTCCCCAAACAAAGGTTGAGGAAGAGAACAAAAAGTCACCTAAGATGGTCAATTTGGCCCCTCTGCCAAACACTGTGACAGAGACTTGTGCAAAAATCCCTTTCTGTGTTGACCTGACCCTCCCCCAACCAGCTGCATCTCTGCTGGCAGCAGCCGCTGATAGAACTGGGCAACCTGCATGAAGGGAAGTTACTCTTGCTGAAAGATGATCAGTACATGAGGCCCTTCTCAGGAGCCACCATCCCAACATCTCACCAAAATGTCAACTAGACCTTTTCATGTTCTCCATGGAAGAACCACTTTTTGGGAAAGGAAGAAACAGAAGTACTCAGTGACAACTCCTGGAGACCATGGGCTGGGTGGCAATTGGGGAAAGTACCAGGACCAAGAGCTCAGCTCCTCTTACCTCCTGCCTGGCCTGGAGTCACCAGAGGAATGTCAGACTATGCCAGATAATGAGAGGTCAAGAACACATGCAGAAAGCACCATTTCAACTCTTGTTTAAGCTTCTTACACACAGAAAACAACCACAAATAACCACAGCACTATACTCAGAACAAAGTAAATACATCTGACATTTGGGAGAGATTTTATGAGTCCCTCATTGTCTTTTGATATTCACATATCACTGATAATTTTGGCTTAGGTTGGATAAACATACTTTAGTTATGTCTGAACTTTCCAGAACAGAAGCGGAGTATTTGCAGATGAAAAGACAAGATGTCTGGCATTTATGTCAAAATATCATGTAAGCGTGATGTTATTCTGTTGTGGGTGGATCAAAATCATCTGTGAATTGATTATTTTGAGAGGTGGTTGATGAGACCATGGGGGTCATTGTTATTCCTCTTTTCTCTTTGTGTTAAAAATTCTCACCATAAACACCTATTTTTAAAATGAAGAGGAGATTATTCTTGGAGCAGTGTTTTGGGATGGGGTGGACCCTGGCATTATATCCACTGAGGCCATTGATAGGGTGTTGGATAGTCTCAGCTTCTATATCCATACCTTGGAGTCAGTTTAGTGCTGAGGCATATTAAAGATGAGGTTTGTGATAAGGTGTGTCCATAATCAAGGTCAAGGAGGACTTCTTTTCTGTCCCATTGTGACACCAGAACTTCCTATCTTTGCAACTGCTGTCCTTGTTTTGGCAGCTCTGGTGAAGACATATGCCAGGTTCTTGATGATGTGGACTCTCAGAAAGAAGGGTCTGTGAGCACTTTGGGCACAGAGGACTGATAGACACAGCAGGGATGCATATTTAGGTTATCTAACCTATTGTCATGGCCCCTGAGAGTGTGTCTCTGACTTTGGGCTGGAGGTGCACATGATTGAGCCATATGAGAGAGGAAGGGTGTGGGCCTTGTGGGATGGAGGATCTGGGAGCTCTGAGTGCCCATGGAAACTAGACTTTACTTGTAGCTATTTTGATGTATTCAGCCTCCCATGATTTACTCTAACTTTACCCAGTTCTTGTCTTTAAATGGTCTCTGACACATCTTCCTAGGGACAATCAATGAATGCTGGTTCTGTGCCCAGTTTGGTGACTTTTCTCACTTGCCTAATTTCTTTCATATCTTTTCCGACTGTTTTAATTTCCTCCTTTAACAGGCTGACCATCACACAGTTATAGCCATCAACCAACCATAAACCTTCATCCTGGAATCTTGTGGTCCAAACTTTCAGGGTTTCTTTCCAACCCCATGATATTGTCAAACTTAATCTCAATTTCACATTCATTGGATCATACACTGATCATTCCTGTATGCTTTTGCTTTACCCTATGTTCCCCTAACTATCTCCATGAAATATGAGTCTTTTTGAGAGTATTATAAGTGAAGAAGCAGGTGAACACAGTGTGGAAAATACTTTTTCATTATATCAGCTGTTTTTCCTACTGCAGAAGTTTGTATCTTTACTTAGTTAACATGCAATGTGAAAGCCTTAGGAATGCACATGTAGGTTTCATTTTCCAAACCTTTCCATGGGATTCCTGGTGATGATGACAAACTATGGAGAACTCACTTGGTTAATAGTCTCCCAAAATGATTCCTCATAGAATATGGAAAGTTCATGACTTTGTCTCAAGGTTCTTCTTTATCTTCATGTTTCTACCTCTAGCTTGTAGCTGAGCATCAGGAGTCCCTTTAATTCTCCCTAATTCCTCATTATGGCCAATGCCATTGTTCTAACAGGCCTTTCTCCCTTCCAGGTAAACAAAGCCATTCTGCAGGGATAAAATTTCTGCTTACTGTCCCCATCAGCATAGGGAACTCACCAAGTCTATGGTGGGTTTGGTGGATAAAATGAGCAGGAGATGGCATCTCATGAGCCTTTGGCTCTGCTGTGTTCTTAGGAGTGCCCCTCACCCCCAAACTGTGAGGCACAGCAGTCCTTATCCACTCTCTCAGCCTCTGATGACTCCTTAAAAACAATGCAGTTGTAGATGTACAACATGCCTTTATTTTACTTGTTGATATTTATGTGGTGCTGAAGATTAAATCTAGTGCTTCATGCATGCAAGGCAAGTACTCTGACCCTGAACTACAGCCCAGTCCTTGATGACCCTTAATTTCAACTAGCAGCCATCTTGTTCTCTGAACCTTCCATTTGCTTTCTCATATCTCATCTCCTGAGTTTAGCACACATGCATTCCCTTTGAAGGAGGCAGGAGTCAGATGAATGAATAAGGAAGGCCAAAAGCCCCAGGGTTCAGGGGATCCAGGCCCCTGAGCAGTGACCTTTCTGCTTAGAGACACAATGAGTTACCAGTGTCACATTAGAAATATGAAATGATACATGATTATTAGGTCTTTATTGATGAGATTTAGGAATGAGGAACATGTGAGATATACATGGTGTGAACTTAGGTGTTGGG